GGCTTTATTGTGGCTCAGGGTCCTGAAGGTGCAAGGTCTAAGGGACACATGGAGAGATGACCTCCTTGCTAACAGTCCACAGACAGCACGGAACACCACACAGCAGAAACTAGCGAGTCCATGTATGAGCATGTCTCTTCTGCAGCCACCAGGACTGAATTGCACCCCACCTAATGACTCTACGACCTAATACTAACGACTTCCCAAAAGTCTAACTTCTAAACATCAGAGAATTAAGATTTCATCCCCAGAATGCCTCACGGTGGGAGTTAAATTTCAACAGGCTCACACCCTGGCCATACCACTCGGCACCAAAGCGCTCACTAATCAGTGACTTGGCCAGTGTGCTTAGTCAAAGGTGTGGCTCTAATACGTTATTCACTTGTAGAAGCTAATACAATGGTTTTCAGTAATCAATAGTATATTTAATTCTGAAAGAGAAAAAAATGCACCCTAAAGACACGCACGTCCTGGACCAGGGTTTCTATAATGCTATCCTGAAAGACCTCCCCTAAAAGCTCTTTCCAACAACACGGATGCCCACCAGCACACCAGGAAACCTTCTCGAAAGATAATGAAGGAGCCTTGCTCCATCCTACCACATGCTCAAGACTCACAGGGATGGACCAATACTGTTTTATCACAGGGCGCCAGGACTTGTTCCCTGAACCAAAGAGACAGAAGTATCAATGGGACTGTAACACCTCGGGCCCCAATGTCCTAACATGGGAAGTGAGTTTCTAAGGAACCTGATTCGCAGTATGACACCCAAGATCTTCTGGCCATTGCCCAGTTACTAAGTAGTCTTTCTAGTACATTTTACAACATATTTTAATACATCATTCCCATACTAAAAGTCTAAGAATACGTATAACGCAATTTGTAATTAAATCAACAATATACCACTTGCCACTCTCCTATGTCACTCACCCGGTAGAAGGGCAAATAGATGCCCAGTTTTGATGGTTAACTGTTGGCGACACTATGCAAAGTGTGTTCATGCTGACCCCTGCTGGACTATTTTTCAAGTGTAAAATTGTCCGGTTCCATTTCATTTGCAATGAGAAAGCGATTCATGGTTTGTTTTTGTTTTTGTTTTTTTAAGGCCTCTGCTCATTCCTGTATTAAGGCTAACATACCATTCTAAATCTCATTCATTCATATGACTCCTGGGCTCACAGTTCCACCATCCAATGCAGTTTGTAAATTTTCTAGCTTCTTTAAAGTCCCATAACATCTTATCCTTAACTACAGGTATGAAATTTTTCAAAGCAACACCACTAAGAAATTTCCCACCAGTTCTAGCCTTACAGAATGAGGCTGGCAACCCTAACCCCACTACAGGATGTGCGGTGTTCCTAAAAGCCAATTAGAATGATGGGCAAATGCCCTCTAACTTAAAGATACAATGGGTGGAGCCAACAGCTGTGCTAGAGGGAAACATTCAAAGCGGTGTCCTCTGTGAACTGCTTCTGCCTTCTCACACTGGCTTCCTTAACGATGCCAGGATTATAAACTCCTTCTGCCCCCGCCCCGTGTTTGTGTGTGTGTGTGTGTGTGTGTGTGTGTGTGTGTGTGTGATGTGTTCTCTATGTGTGTGCATATGAATATTGGTGCACGTATGCACCATGTTGTGTGTGGAGGCTAGGAACTTATTTTTGAGATGATACCCCCCTCCCCTCCCCGACCTGGGCTCACCTGGTCTGCTCTAGCAGGGGGCCTGTCTCTACCTTCCCAGCATGCTCAACCTTACAGTGCTGGAATCCAAACTCAGATGTCTACAGATGAACAGCAAGCTCCTGTGTGCCCGGGATGTTCTCCCCAGCTCCACAGCTTTGTCCTGTATAGAGATATTTGCCTGATAATAGTTTGAATCCTTCAATTGACCTGTAGCATTTCTTTACTGTATTTACTGGGCCTTTCTGTGTATTTTTTTTCTTTTTCTTTGTTGAGACAAGGCCATCCTAGGTGGCTTAGGCTGCCCTAGAATTCACTAAATAGCCTAAGCTGGCCTTAAACTTTCGACAGTCCTCCTGCGTTGGCTTCCCAAGTCCTGAGGTTACAGCTGTGTGGTACAAGCCTGGCTTCCTTATTTCGTGTGAATACATATCTGTTATTTATGACAAGAAAAGCACCCAGCTAGATGAGACATTGAACTCCATAAAGCCAGCCCTTTCTCTACATAGACATCCTTGGCACTGTGGAGCAAATCTGAGGTGTGTGTGTGTGTGTGTGTGTGTGTGTGTGTGAGAGAGAGAGAGAGAGAGAGAGAGAGAGAGAGAGAGAGATTTTCCATTCAAACAAACCAAGAACTAGTGTTGTGTACCAAAATAAGCAGAAGAAAATGAGACAGGGTCTTACTCTAAAGCAAAAGACATTGAAACAAGACTGTAGAGTGCACTGAACAAAAGGTTTCTTCTATACAAAGCCACAGGCATGCCTAGCTATTGTGGGGAAATACTGAAATAATGGAAATAAAAACAGTTAAGCGGGGTCCAGGGGGCATCCTGAACATGTCAGGGGAGCTGCGGATAAGACAAAACAAACCAGGTTGGCTTCCCCATGGGCCGCAGCTCTCAGGGTCAACCTGGGGCAGGCTGCAGCCAGTATTTACTTGATGAATGTGTGGGTTGGTGGAGGTGGGGGGAGCCTGAGAAGCTGGAGGGAAGGCGTGTCAGAGTACAGCGCTCTACTGTGGTTTCATCATGAGATGCTGAGCAATAACGCAGACACCCACACCGACCCAGAGTGCCAACCAAGAGCTTTCCAGCCTCCAACACCCAGATGCCACGAGGACAGGCTAGCCTCCTCTGGGTTCATCGATGCCTTCCAAAAGATGCGTTTGACTTTCTCTGCATGGCTATAGCTCTGATTAGAAACTTGAGAAATGGCAGGCGACTCCGTAGAATTGAGAGCAAGTAATTGGACTGCTTTTTCCAAATTAGATGGCACATGTGGGGGGGGGGAGAAAAAAAACTTAAGATCCAGGGGCCTTCTCAGTGCTTAGTAAGATTTTAAGAAAGACCTTTTGTCACATAACACAAGTGACTATTGTACAATTTTAGCACACAATTGGTTGTTCAGGGAATCTGTAGCTGCCTAAGTTGAATGAGCCTGGCTTTTAACTGAAATGTAATAAAAAATGGCCCACCACTTCAGAAAATCAGCTCCAAGTGCCAAGGTGCCTCCTGGTACCCTCTTGGTACTGAGGTACAGTCATAGCCAGTGATGTCACAGACAGACGCTGGGTAAATTCAGCACTTAGAGCTTTACTTTTTATCTTCAAGGATGGTTCTTGCTCATTATTTATTGAAAAGTTTTATTAAAAGTTGTTTATAGTCAGTATATTATGTCCTTTATTAAATCCATGTGGCCATACAGGTTGCACTAACTTTAGCCTTTATTCCAAGATATCCAGAGGAGCCTGTTCGGATTAAAAGAACTCTCGTTTTCATCCAATCTGCTCATTCTATAATGAAACTGAGGCTCAGAGAGGTCAAGTGACTTGTTCAAGGCTACACAGCAAGCTAATGGTCAGGAGGCAATCACACACCACCATGGCACATAGTGTTCCTTTCAGAACAAGTCCTGGCGTCAGCAAGATCATGGTCAAAAAAATAAAGTCACAAAGAGGAAGAAATCCACACCTCAGAATGAGTTGCGGATCATAAGATTCAGGGAGCAAAGACCGGGGCGGGACGGGGCGGATCTACTCCCACCCTCAAGCAGAGCCACGAGATGCTCAGAGAGGTTTGCTTTTGTCCACCCCCACCAGAAAGCATCAGATGCTGCCTTGCACTCGGTCCTCAGAGTGACAAGCCTGTGGCCTGTGCGAAAGGGAAATCAAAAAAAGCAAAGAACCGCTGTTTACCTGGAGAGAGTAGTCGCCCATTCCTACCTTCACTGTATGCTCTCAAGCACATTGCAGTGAAGCAGTCAAAAGAGATAAACTCAGCTTAAAATCAGTAGATCAAGCCCCTCACTTGGGGCACTGAATGAGTGTACTCTGGCTAGAGGGCTTTCATGGGAGGTCTTCACTTACAACCAGAGAAGAAAGCGGGAGGTGAGCTTTATATTTTACACATGCATTAAAACATTGGCAGTCCCAGTGATGAGATAAATGGCAGATGGTGAACACTGATCTCACACTGATGTCTAAACACAGCACTGCTCTGTAGGAAGCCCTCTCTCGGGGCCCACTTCCGGGGCATCTTGTGTCACTCAACATTAATCTATCTGTAGTAAGTTGCCGGTATATATGCTGTTTAATTCATCAGTTGGTTAAGCTTGGTTGTTAATTGATTGTTAATCTCTAGTTGATTAATTTGCTGATTGATTGTATATCTTGCAAGAAAACATGTAAAGGGGGAGATGTGGGGGAGTTAGTTCTCAGCCCCTTGACGCTAAAGCTTCCGGATCTGAGCTGATTAAATGGCACCTGTACACAAAAAGGGAAAGGAAAGAAAGAAGGAGGGAACGAAGAAATGAAGGAAGAAAGGAGAAAATAGAAAACCCAGTAGCTTTGCCATTCAGCCAAAGTACAGAGAGAGAAGCAAGCTAATTGCTCTGTCTTTTTAAAATGAAAATCTTCTTATTGTCTACATTTTCCTTGAAGTGAGTGTTACCAGGATGAGTTTCCCAACCTGAGACTATGGATATCCTGAAATCCTTGAGAGGGGATCAGAACACTGAAACTGTGGTTTCAGGGAGCTTAAAGCTGATGCTAACAACAAGAGCACTTTTGACTGCTCTGTAAATGAAATCGCTTGTCCTTCCTTTGGGATTCAGCTGGAGAATGACTTCTGCTGGCACTCCTAGAGTGGGCTCTGAAAGAGCCCAGTAGTTGGGGCGGGAAGTCCTTACCTTTGTAATGGACTTTGTTCTAATGAATATGATCCTATATGCCTGTATCATTGTTTTATGATATTAATGGGATCTGCTCCTACAAAACGAAAGGACGTGCTATGGACCTAGAGTGACAAAGGCACTGAGCCGAAGCATTAAACTCTCTGTGCGGAATGACACACAGAAGTGCCTTTTCATTTCATGTTAAATAAGGTCGGAGGCAGACGAGGCAGGTGGGTGGAGGCACTGAGGAAGCTGGCTGTTCCAATGGGCTGTGGCAAACGAACGTGGCTGGTGGTTTTAATATCCTAGGGAGAAAAATAAACAGCTTGTTACTATGGTCACGTTTGCACATCCTTCAGAGCTGCCTAAGTGAAAAGGGCCATAGCAGTTAAATCTCTCCAAGGAGGTGGTACTTCTGTAACCCATGAGACCAGCCCAGGCACCACCAGCGAGATGGCCCAGAATGAATAGGGTGAATTGGTGAAGAGAGATCTCCCCGTCCCATGAATAATGACGGCTCTCCAAAATGAGGCATAATATAGAGGATATTTAAGAAGCAGAAGGCTCGCTCCGTCTTGACTGTCACACTTACTTGGCAATGTACATCTTATTGGAGAAGGACTCCGACTTCGAGATATCTGAAAACATGAAAGAGCAATGTGAATTAAACAAGATAGAGCAGATTCCTGGGACATGGGTAAGTCTTAAAAGCAGCCAGGGAGTTTCTCTGAGGTACTGCACCACATGAGTCTTCCTAGGCTTTTGAAGTAAATGTACACCTAATTTGGTTTAAATTATATCGGTGATTAGAAGTTGGGTTCGATGGTTTAAGAGAAGAGAAAACTTTTTAACATGATTAGTAAGAGCTAGAATTATGACAGAGTCAATGGCTTAATGGGAGAGAATCTTTTTGACACAATTAACCAACAAAAGCTAAAATTATGACATAAACTCAAAGACTCTTTATAAAAGTTTTCGTGTCCAAATCCTGCCCTACTAAGGAAGGTCTGAGCATACACAAAAGAATGCTTTTCAGATCTTACCATTACCTTCCCTAAGCAGAAACTACCACTCTGTGACTTCACGCCTGGTACCAGCTACAAGCCGGTTTCTTGTTGTGAACTCTCAAACATGTTAGGTAAATGCATACTGTCCAAGGCGGAATCTATTCTGTGGGGATCGTAGCCTTAATTAAACCCAAAAGGAAGGCCAATCAAAACATTTACATTTCCTCTTGGAGGTGCCTATCTTTGTTGAAGAGAGAGAGAGAGAGAGAGAGAGAGAGAGAGAGAGAGAGAGAGAGAGATGGAGATGGGCGGAGAAAGGAGGTTGGCTCGGTTTCACCTTTGAAATATATTTTATGTCCTCATCTACACTTGGGTCTATGTTGCTCTCCCTGAGCAGAGAATGATAAAGAAAAGGGGTTTCAGACATGTCTCAGGACTCACTCAGTGCAGGGGACACTCCCCTTGCATAGAATTTCTACTGAGAATCCAGAGTTCAAGTCTTCAGGGCTGGAGAAGCATCTACTAATACTAGCCTACCGACTACTGTCTCCTCTGATACACTGTTTCCTCTTGGGATGGGGAGACATCCTATTATGATGCTGTCAAGGTTCCCTTTTTCTTTATCAGGTCACTAAATGCATGGTCCTCTTTTCCACCTTCTTCACACACTTATTCATTTATGTAATTAAGTCTTATTAAAAAAACCCCAATAGCAAAAGGACCGTGTCCACTGCGGATCTTTTCCACTTCCCTAGCATTTATGTGGTTTGCTTCCTCTATAACATCAGATCATTCTAAAAGACCAAACCGAATGCCAGCTTTTATGCTGATTCCTCAACACCTCCAGGTTTTTACATCGCAGACTATATTACACCACATCACCCATGGACCTCTCAACTTGATCTGCATCATGACCATCCAACTAAGTTGTTCACGGTACGCTGATCTTCCTAAATGGTGGCCCATTCATGGAGAAGACCGCATCTGGTTATTTTTGTGTCCCTCTCACATCTGGCCTTTGAGTTATGTTTGAGAAGGAGCCTGCAGCAGGGATAATGGATGCTTGCTAAACTCCGAGGGGGTGGTCGGTCTGTTCTGCTTGGTTCTGCAGAGGAAGCCCTGCCACTGCATTGCCAGAGACATTTGGGAGATGTGAGGTATTGCCACCTGTAGTCCTCATTCGCTGCTTTCTCCTTGAGAACAAAGTCAAACACACATAGAAAGGATCTCCATTTAAAGGAATGGTAGATCTGTAGCCTGTCTATCTTGGTCCAGCCCCACTGTCAACAGATGCTGACTAAATGTTATTTGGTGAAGAATAATGTTGAGTCATTGTGATGTTTTTAGGGATGCAAATAGAGTTTCCAGAAATATTTTTATGCTATTTTAAGTTAAATAGATTAGTAACTTTTCTAAGGATTAATATGCAACGAAACTAATTTTATCTTTTCTACTTTGAATTTGGAAACAACTTGATACTTTAACTAGCCATTAGAAAGTATTTCGAGCCGGACTCGAAGTAATCCCTCCAGCTCATGTGCTAATTTCTATAAAAACCAGGGCCTGTGTTCAGATCTGTGACTCAAGTGCCGCGTGTTCATCTGTCTGTTCTCTAACAGCCTGTTCAAGGGTGAAAAGAACAAACCGCTTAAATGAGTAAAGTCCTTTATTCCTTGAAAGACCTAAACAGGAAAACTGAAGACAAGCGCTTCTATTTTTCTCTAGGCTGCTAAATTGCTTAGCCATAGTCACGTACGAGAGAAAAACTCCCTGAGGGGTTGGTGTCAGGACAATCGCCTCTCTTTCTACCTATGGGTTCGCAAACACCCCTTGCACAGGAAAGTATCACTGTAGATTTTCTGCAGCAACGATTTGACAGGAATGTACCGTGCTTAATCCAATGCGGTTACGGGGGCAGACGGGGCTCAAACTCCTGCTGCGGCAGCGAGCTACAGGTCGCACAGAACTCCACTGAGGAGAGAAAGAGAGGCAGAGAAAGAGTCATGAGTTCATGAAAGCTGATCTGGCTCACCCCAGACTTTCTGACAGGACGGCGATTTCCCTCATCGCCAGAGTAAGTGACGTTCCTAGTATTTCCTGCGACACAGTATTGGGCAAGAACTTCTCCCGCAAAATCCCATTATAGTGAACTTGAGGGTATCCACATTCTGGTGCTCAGAGTATTTTCGTGTGTAAGCTGTTAGATGTCACATTTGGCTTTGGGATTCAAGGCTGTTTGTTCACTTTAAGTATCTACCGTGTAAACGAAGCTCTGGGGTCGTATGTGCTACAGGGTAAATCAGTCTCGCTGAACTCAATGAGAGGCCTCTGCTGGCCAGCTTCTGAGTCCTGATGAAGAAAATTATACTCCAAGTGCATGGGAGATGTGCTGTTTTGATTGTGTGTCAATAAAAAAAAAGGGCAAATGTGTGTTTGTGGGAGAGGAGATCAATAGGCAACAACTATTGGACAGGATCGTAAAAACTGCAAACGAGGAAAAAAAAAATGTGACCTAGTCACCTCCTTCCCTTCCAAATTGCACTTCATTAGTAAAATCTTCCTAACAGAGAGTTGTAAGGGCAAGAATCCTGTGTTATGAAAATGTTCACTGGAGAACGTATGTGTTGTCATATGGACAAAATCCAATTTTGATAAGGTCAATTTTTGACACACAAAACATTTTTATGGAGAAAGTTTTCACTACAACGCGATTTTAACTTGTAAAACAACACTAACATTCTAAGTTTTTTAAAATAAACTTCTCTGTTCTACTGTGTGCAGCCTCAGAGCACCATGGCTTTCACCCAGTTCAGAAAACAGGGATTAAAACCACCACCTTGGCTTTGCTCTGGACCAAGGAACCCCCTTCAGAACTCACCTAGTCCTTTCTAGGAAAGGATGAAGTAAATAATACATCAATGTCTGTGCATATCCAAGGTCCCTGTGGTCATGAATCCCAGCACACAAACTCCTTACTCTCACACACATGCACACACACACACACACACACACACACACACACACACACACATGCAAGACTCCATTTGGGAGGTTTCAAAAACATCTCTAACTAAGAACTATAAGAAACACCCCTCCAAAGCAAATAATTCCTTTCTCCCCACCCCCTCTGCCCCATTTTCTTCCGTCCTTCCCTTCCCTATACATCATACCAAGGAGAGAAAAACAGGATACATGTATAATTTCCCCCAAATGAAGAATTAGGAATGTCAAAATATCTCTAAGACGGAGCAGATAAATGAGCCATGGCTAACTCCGTCTTTAGACAGAAGGGCAGCAACAAAGTCACTGCCAGGAAATTGCAAAGAATTGTGGGACAGTCCAAAAATCAGGCCGCTGTTTTTTTCATTCTCCTTTGTATGAAATCTTATCAAACTCTATCAACTTCTTTTATAGAATCTTTGGGTTTATAAATGTTCTCGAACTTGTGAATCAAACACTGGGGATGAACTGTCACTATGCAAGGCCACCGTACAAAAGCCCCTCTCTTGGTGACAGCTTCTCCCTTCATGATGACACAGTCATTCTCCATGAGAGCAGGCCACACGTGATAAAAGACCAAGGGAGCAGTGAAATCCGAGTCATAACTGCGGCGGTACCTGTGGGAATGCACAAGAGAACACAGAAGGTAAGAAACTGCTTTTCCATGGTAGGGATCAAACCCAGAGGTTTGCGCGTGCTAGACATACATTGTACCGCTGGGGCATGGCCACCAGCTGGAAGTTAAGCATTCTGTAGCAAGGCTAGGGGGAACTCAACTGAAAAATTCCGTTTTGGCTTGGCTTAGACTTGAAGAGGGCCAAGATCCTCATTCTGTGGTTAAGGAGACGGACACATTGTTAGAACAAAAGCCAGAAACAGCTAGCCTCTGGCAGAGACTTGCTACGAACACATGTCAACAAACTTCATTCCGTCTCTAGTCTTCTCAGAATCCTAAGAGCTATAATTCTAGAAAATACTAGAGGCATAGACAAAGTTCTCTGAGGCTTTCTATAATATCTCTCATGCTGTCTCTGAGAACAAAACAGCATAAATCTAGGCAAATGTTTGCATGAACAGATTGAAATGTGACTCAGTGGTCACATCTACAGAGGAACCATCAGCAGATCAATCAGTATCAGAATGAAGATGCTGGAGGCTCCCTCACAATTTCTTATGTTTGTGGATATTTTGTGGCATGAATGTCTGGGCTCTGTGTTCATGCAGTGCCTGAGGAGGTCAGATCTTCTGGAGCTGGAGTTACAGACAGTTGTGGGATGCTGAGAATTGAACCCTGTTCTTTGTTCTCCCTCTGGAAGAACAGCCAGTGCTCTTGACCACTGAGCCATCGCTGCAGCCCTCTTCATTTGGTGACAAGTCAACATATTTTTCAGTGACTTGGGTAAAATGTAGAAAAAAAAATTGCTCAAAAGCAGGCAGAAAAAAACCCAAAACCTAGATGACGGCACCCAATAAAATAGCTCAATAGGCTGGAACAGTAAGCCAGGGGTAGGAAGACAACGCAGTGTGAGCACACGAGAGCATGCAGGTGGAGTGTGGAAAGCGGGTAAGCACACAAACAGGGAACACGGCTCTGGGCAAAGCACAAACAGCAAACAAGAGCAAGCTTAGTTTTACTTGAAATGGGAAAATGCCATTTTCATAATAAAAAAAACTTCTGTAATTTAGTTAGATTGATAGAAAGGGATAAATAGGGATGGAAAGGTGCTAGTCCCTCTCAGTTGCCCACTGCAGTCTAGGTTCCTTTATCCGATTTTTTGATTCTTCCTTTCAAAGGAAAACTCAACAGAGCTCAGTGCCCAGGCCAAGGATCAGAGTTACTTGTCAAGGAGTCCCCAGTCCACATCACGTGAAAGACTATGATGCCGTGAGGCCAAGGAAAGGATTTCAGGAATGCTCCCAGGGAAAGGAGCTAAATGCCAGGTACTAAATGCTCTAATGTGTTCTGTGACTTTCTAAAACACTCTGCCCCTTTGTATTTGAGGGGGATTGCTTCAGGACCCAGCAGACACCAGGGTCGCCAGATGTTTATGTGCCTTGTATAAAATGGTCTCAAAGGCTGAATATGTGGTGTAAATGTGTAATTCTAACACTTGAGGGGCTAAGGTAGAAGGACTGAGTTAAAGTCAGTCTTATGTAGTTAATGAGCTCCAGGCTAGCTTGAGCTGTGCAGTAAGACTGACTATAAATAGATAGATGATAAATAGATAGATAGATAGATAGATAGATAGATAGATAGATAGATAGATAGATGATGGATATATAGATAACAGATACATAGATAGATAGATAGATAGATAGATAGATAGATAGATAGATAGATAGATAGATGATGGATATATAGATAACAGATACATAGATAGATAGATAGATAGATAGATAGATAGATAGATAGATAGATAGATGACGGATATATAGATAACAGATACATAGATAGATAGATAGATAGATAGATAGATAGATAGATAGATAGATAGATGACGGATATGTAGATAACAGATACATAGATAGATAGATAGATACATAGATACATAGATACATAGATACATAGATAAATGATAGACAGATAATGTTACATTTTTATATAACCTATGGAATTTATCCTGCATACTTTAAGTCACATCTAGATTGTTTGGCAATACTTAATACAATGTAAATGAGGTATAACAATTATTATTCTATACTGTTTAAGAGATGATAAGGAAAAATAGTTTATACATGTTCAGGTTTTTTTTCCCTCATATTTTAAATCCCTGGCTGGTTCACTCAACAGTTAGGGACCTCTAGACACAGAGAAACAGCAAGAGGATCACATTCAATTACAGTTAGGAACCCTAATTTCAACTGCTCAGCCATTTAGGTTTCCTCTGGTTAAAAGCATGTGATGGAGAGACCCAACAGTTGTCCACAAACCAAAGTAGGTGGCCATCTGAATGATAATACCCATATTCCAAAGAAGAAGGAAAATAAAGATGGAAGGTGTTAAGCATCTGTGCAGAGAAAAAGACCCAACTGCAGGGCAATGTCCACACATCCAGCTCTTCTGAAGTGGATACACACTGGGAACAGTGACCTGAAAGACACTAGAACAGATCAAGAGCATGGATCAAACTAACCAGAAAACCCATTCTTGTGGTGAGAGAAAGATGCGTGGTTTCCCTCATCAGGAAGCGTTCAGGAATGCTGGGCAGCTATCTATCCTGAACTATGGCTAAAACAAAGACCCAGAGTTCATATTCCTAAACACTCACAACATGCCCGGCACCATCCCCAATGCTCCATCTGAGTGATCTTAGCTAGCCTTCTACAGGCCTGGGGAAGAAGCATTACAAACCCCACTCCTTGAAAGAGAAGAGACCTGAAGAACAGAAAAATAAAGGACTGTTCCGAAGATCACAGTGACTAGGTAGAGTCAGGATTTAAACCTAGGCAGCTTGAGGCTAGAGCTGGCCTTCTTTACCACTAGCTTGGCCTCTCCTCAGGTAGACAAGATCTTTCCAAATCTCAGGGAATGTTTCAGCTTATTTCAGCTTCTTCTGATTAGAAGAATATTCACCGTGTGAAATTTGGCAGAATCTAACGGTTCTAGATGGGAGTCCGGCACACCAGACTGCATGGAGTATGCCTGCTGTTTATGAACCACAGCCTCCCAAGTGCCATGCTGCAACCACGGCAGAAAACAGTGCACGCCTTGGTGAAGATGTGCGCATCCCTAACAGACGCCTGGACTGCTTCAGAGGTTGATGGTGCGCCAGTGTCTCGGAACATCAACCTCTGACCTCCTCAAGAGTGTCCGTCTGCACACATATGCACACACATGCATATACCATACACAATAATAACAATAATAATAATAATAATTTTTAACTGTGTTTGTAGTCACAGAATGCATGTTTTTAAATTTCCAATGATCCAGCAAGACTCCAGGCTACTCCTTAGGTCTCCCCAAAGCTAATATATTCAGTGAAGAGTGAGCCCAAGGAGGATCCAGATGATGGTTCAGAGAAACTCATGGCACGGGAGTGGCTACTGATCTCTCTACCCGTGGTTCTTTCCCATTCATCTTCCCAGGGAGCGGAGACAGTGAGCATCTTTTAGCACCTGCTCCTGTGTCTCTTACTTGCAATCATTAAAGACCTCTCCGTCGGCCCCAAATGCGATATCCAGCGGTGGATCCAAGGACTGCATTGCGAAGGCAATGCAGCATATCTCCTGGATGAAGTCACTGAGGACGCAGAAGTCAACTTCAGGAGGGAATGAGATCTTGGGGTTGACGTTCATGGCACGGATCACATCCTGAAAAACAAATGATGGCATCAATTGGCGGCAACATCCAGAGGATTCTCAATACCATGTGGCTGATGGGAGATGGAAAAGAGCATGTGCATGAAAATACGTGAATCCAGAAAGGGGGCAGGTGTACCATGAGGAGAAGGAGGATGCTGCTCACTGGCAGGGAAAGAAAAGAGAAGACACAGCAGAAACAAGCCGGCAGCAAGAAGAATCCCTCTTTTAAAAACTGAAGGGAAAAAAGGAAAAAAATTTTAAAAACTGAAGGAAGAGGCCTATGGTGTTTATTAGTTCATATGTGTGTGGGGGGGTACATGTTATTATGGGTGTGAGCACATATGAATGTGGAGTTCATAGGTTAATGATGGATGTTTTTCTCTATTGCTCTCAGTCTTGTTTTTTGAGACAGGGTCTCTCGCTGAACCTGATTTAGATAGGCTGTCAGGCCAGCCAGCGTGTTCCAGAGATCTACCTGTCTACTGTGATTATAGACATGTGCCACCTCATCCAGATTTTATGTGTGTGCCTAGGACCTGAACTCGGGTCTTCACCCTTCCGTGATGGCATTTTACCGACTGAGCCATCTTCCCTCCTGACCTTTCTTCCATGAGTAAATGTGGGAGATACATGCCAAAAACTCTGGCTATTCCTCCACTACACCATAGTGTAAGTAAAATAGCTGGCTTTTTACACTAGACAAATGGCCCGTCTCCTTTCGTGGACCCCTCCCAGCAGCTCTGAGTCTCCCTGTCAGAGATTAGAAAGCCAGAGCACTGAGAACTTAAGTGAATGTGGAAGGCAACACAGTAGTCACGTGACAACGTCAAGGACCAATCAGTACTCATTTCCCAGAGTCCTTGCTCTTAAGAACTAAAATATTTCAACTCCCAATCTCAACAACCCATCTAAAGGATGGCAGTGTAAAGCTCAGAACATTTCCCCCTAAGATGTCTGAGTAAGGAACTAAAGAGATGGCTCAGTGCGTAAGGCATTTACCACAAGCATCAGGCCCTGCGTTCAAATTCCAGCACTCTCAGAAATTCAGGGTAGCTGTCTTAGCACTGAAGAGGCAGAGACAGGAGGTTCCCTGAGCAACCTGGCTAGCTAAAGTACCTAAACTGGCAAGCTAGACAAGAGACCTTGCTTTCGCAATTAGAAAGTGATCAAGGCAGATACGCAGTATCAACCTCTGACTTCCACAGATGTGTACACGCCTCACAGACACACAGATACACACACACACACACACACACACACCACTTGCATACACATACAGAAGGAAAGCAGTCAATAAGAACTGGTTTTACAGGGTAAGTTGAATGTTGTGCTCTCCCAACACATAGACAAAATACCAAAGACACACCTGAATTCCTAAGCGGTCAGTATTCAGTGTGTCATCATCAGTCACATGCTAGTCCTCAAAAGAGACCCAACACTTACATTAACACTGTTCTGAGAGTCGTAGAGATCAAGATGACAAATGATATAGTCCAAGACTGCACACTCGAAGTCATTTGACCCCACGTGCGATGGTGTGAGCATCTTCCTCACCCGGATCTTGAAATGTCTGAACGCCATTTTAGCTACATGAAACGCCTCCTGCACGTGAAAACACAGTGAGTTTATCTGACGAGGAGGTGGAAAGGTCCAAAGAAAGGAATTAGGGAGAATTCAGAATGCAACACCAAACAAGTGTCTAGATAACCAAACACGGCTGGTCAAACATGCTTTTGACCTGTTAGATAATATGATCTTCAGTGTTAAAACATTTGAAGACATGTACGTGATAACACATTAATTTTAAGACAAGCAAGCATTGTGTTGGTAACTCTGGGTGCCAAAAAGCAGTATGATGCAGACCCAAGGACCTAAGTCCTGTGCTGTGGGCACACAGCAATGTTATGGTACCGGCCAACATGTTAAGAGAAAACACCCTGTCCCAGATTTCCCAACAAGCCTTTATCCCATACCTGTTATCCCATATCCCATATGCAGTAACACTGGCAAGACTTGGTTTCTCAGGCATTAGGCAAATCCCTTTAACCAAATCACAAAGTAGCTTTAACCAAATCACTCTTAGTTACATAAACTAGGGCCCGGCAAGATTCTCTTATGAAGACCCAAATGGTAAATGCTTTAGGCTTCACTGGCTACAATTTCTGGCACTGATTAATTTTTTATCACGCCTCTTTAAAAGTAGAAAACCGTTCTTCCTTCTGAGTAGCTGGGCAGTGCTTTAGAAATGAGGCAGGAGTGGCCCATGCACATAGCTTGCTGACCTCTGACATAAATGAATAGACCCAGGATTTCTGATCTGTCTGCTCTCACACTAACAAGATGGGCTGGTGTAGTCTCACATCACAAGGGGTACACTATCAGTCGATTTGATGTGAACCCATTTGAGACAGTCCTGTGTTGGGTGATGGACACTGTAATAAATGTCTGCCAACATAAGTGCTAATAGTATATGTGATAGTTCACAGTTGTAAAAAAAAAAATGAATAGCTCCCAAATATACTTAATGAAAGGATGGGAGGGAAGAAATGGGGAACTGGAATCCCCTCTCTCCAGTGACTTCAGGATGTACCAGCCTTTTAAGATTGCACCGTTCATTTTGTGATGGATCTCCCACTGACCCAAGAACCCGAAATCCAGCTGCAGATGTCGCATTTACCACTGTGGCGATGTAAATGATCCGCTGCACAGTCTCTGCCCTGTCGATGCAACGCCGCAGCAAGCACTGTGCATCCAGACGGGCCTGGGAATAGGCATCGCTGAATCGGGACAGGAGAGCCGCTTTGCGAGCCACGCTGGACATTTTGGACCGGTTTGGGGATGGGCTTCTGACCTTGGCCATTGCGGTGCAGGGGCTGTTGGACCTGCTACGGCTGCGGCTGCGGCTGCGGCTAGGGCTACAGTAGGTAGGGCTAGGAGACCGGCTCCTCGCTGACCTGCAGGTGAACAAGAATCAGCTGGGCAAGACTGTGACTCCCTCTTCCCTTGTTCCTGGACTTCCTGAGCTCTTAGTCTTCTCTGCATACACTCCACAAATGACACACTAGTACCCCACAGCCTCTCACACGTGGGCAGGTGGAGGGTCTGTGGGGATGTCCTCCCCACTAGGAGTAGGCATTTTTGTCTCCAAGGGCCCCAGAAATAGGAACGAATACTCCCTATTTACCCAGAAAATTAGTAATCACAAAGCCCTTTCATCATGAGAACCCCAAGTTATATCTTCAGTCACCCGGTGTCTCCAACTTCGACTGCTGAGCATTTCACAAAGGGGGAACCGGAAGTCCTCAAGGACCAGAACCTGGAGGTACCGCCACCGAATGAGGACCGGAGTTAGCATACAAGTCAGATGCTGGAGTTTCTTAAACTGACCTGGAAGTACTCACACAGCATCCAAGTACTTCCCAGGACCTTGTGAGTGAAACCGGGTTGCTATCAAGAGCAAAGTAAACTATTAGAGGTCACAGCAGTCAGCTCCACGGCAATGAGGCCCGGAAGAGAAGTCTCACAGAAGGAACTACGCAAGTACAAGGGTGGAACGGTCATCCGGTCAGCCTACTCTGTGAGTGGGGACTGTCACCTTCCTTCCTGGTGTGGCCCGTTCCTGTGGGGCAACTCACGCTGGCTGATCAGCACCAGTCAATACCGGCACTGCACAGAGGACAGCCTTCGCAAACGAAGGACTCAGGAACCATGGAGGCAAATGTGCATAGGCAAGCAGCCAAGGCTTCAATAATGTCACTCAAGAAGTGCCAGAGGGGAGAGGGGACTAGTGCAAGTGAGAAACTACAGTGTTGGCGACACAGCTGCTTTGTCCTCACTTACCATACTCATCTCCCCATTGGGTTGAACAGCAGGGATTTCACGAAAACAACCTATGCACGGCCCATCAACAGAGTGAGAGAGAAGAGAGGTGTGGTGCTTCTTCACACCTCATATTCCACCACTCGAGACACTGAGGCAGCAGGATTGCAAACCTCATGCCAATTCTGACTACATAGTAAAATGCAGGCCAATCTTGGCTACAAAGCAGGACTGTGGCTCAAGGGGGAAACAAATCAGTGCGGTAAAATGAACAACCGTCTCTAGACACTGGACACAGGATTCCTGGGCTTCTGGGGAAAGAGTGTCAGGTTATGGAACATTCTTACAACGTATACTATCCACTGAAGAAACAGCTCACACAAGCCTGGTTTCAAAGCCAAGACACCACCTTCATAAGTTCTCAGGCATTTTTCCTGGATAGAAGGTGCAAGTTCAAGAAAATAACCCTTTTACAAACCGGAGCTTCCCAGGCCATTGTGGTTTTGATTTCACTCTGTCGTCCTCTCCCTACTGTCCAGGCTTTTGCTACTAACTAAGAAAAACCCTGAAAGGCAAATGAAAGGATCTGGGAGAGTTTGTCAGACCTTCCCTGGAGACCGGATTTTTCAGCAGACAACACAGCTATCTCATCCTTCAGATTTTGGAGATGTTTCTCATAGTCGAACATCACCTCTTGGCCCCGTGGTTCTAAGCCCCGTGGTTCTGAGCCCCGTGCTTCTGAGCCCCGTGGTTCTGAGCCCCGTGCTTCTGAGCCCCGTGGTTCTGAGGCCCGTCCTTCTGAGCCCCGTTTGCTTGAAACTCGACGTTCAGATCTTGAAGCCTCCGAGCGCCGACTCTCTGAGTTTCTGTGACGAGCGTCTTCCTGGGCTTGAAGTGATTTAAGTCTAACAACAAAGGAAATGGGAATGAGAAAGAAAGGAAGTTGGATGGGGAAAAAATGAACCAATGTTTTAGGAGGTAGGGAAGGGATTAGAAAAGGAAAAAAGAAAACGAGACCACTCGCATGCCAGTGCTGCATGGGGAGATTCCGAAGGAAATAGATGTGAACACATACCATAAGCAAGGAACAAAATCACAGAGATAGGAATTCACCTCACTTCTACAGCTTCCAAGGTGGGAGGCTCCCTGAAGAAAGGCTATGTACATGGGTCCTCTGGGAACAGCAGAGTGTTTTACAACTGAACTCAATTTTCTGGCACTAAACTCCAAAAGCATTTACCCTTCAAAACTTAGTTCAACCCTTGTATAATCCCTACACTCAGGAGCTCATCTTTTAAACAGAGTATGAAGGAAGACTGCACAGGGCTAGCTGGAGGTGTGGACTTCTAAAAACATAATGCAACATTAGACTAAAGGTCTTAGAAATGAAACCGGCATCCTCATTGTGCTCCAAAGAGGTGTGACCACTGTAACACAGAAGCAAACGCCCAAGAACCTGCGTTGATGAAGACAACAGTGGAGGAGGAAGGAAGAAGATTGGGATGTAATGGAGCCAGAGCACTGAAGAATTCAAAGGCGCACTAGAAACAATGGAAGACAACTGGGTAACATCAACCATGAGTTCAAGGTGGTGGACCAACCAGGGCATCAGAGATCAAAATGAGGCAGGGGAAGAAAGACGTGGAAAACATAACAGCATCTCAAGAAGCCTCAGGAGTATTCTCGAAGAAATTAACACTAGAACATATATAGAAACTCTGTTAAGCTACAATATATGTGAAAAGTATCAAAAGATGTGTGTCTTGGTGTGTGCATATATATACATATAAAATACACTTCCCACTTTCTCCTTTGGGGGGAAAGGAGGGAGGCTTCAAAAGTAAGAGAAGATAAAGGACATGTAGCTCATTGTTTCCCTCTAGAAACAAGCATTAGGATCTAGTCCAAAGTCTAAATTAAGGTTTACCAAGAATTTATTCCAATGTCTTTTAATCCAGAATTAAAAGTTAATATCCAAGTACATGCTCAACATGAAGGAAATTCTAGAACAATGTAAGAAGATGAACCTATTTAAAACTAACTTCTGCATTACTTTTATCTCGGTGATAATGTATGTATGTATGTATGTATGTATGTATTATAATGAAAAGGTGGAGTCCAAAACCATATAGACCTCAATCTGCTCTTAGCTGTTTCAATCCATTAACTGGAAGAAATAAACTAGTAACGTTAAGTGCCATAGTATGAGGAGAGGGGTTTTAGGCTCCTGGATACTATGCTACATTTTAGAAATTTCCTGTAGTCAGCAAGAAATGCTTGTAGTGAGAAGAAGAAGCTAAGTATTCATAAAACGCCGCCATAATTCCTCATTCATGGTGAATTCTCACGTTTGTAATAAACAACTGAAAATCTAAACTCGGTGGCTCGGCAGCAGCTGCAGGGTTCTATGGGTTCTTGTTTTCTTACTGCTTTTTTAGCTGATTTATCTCCTCCTCTGCAGCCTTGAGGGATATGGTTGATCTGTTCCTGGTTCCTTCAAGACTCTTTCCAGTGTCAGCCAGACTGTAAGAGAAATCAGTAACTAAAACCAGATTTTCCCAAATTGGCAGACTTTCCAACTCAAGGCATAGATTTTCTAGGAAACTCCGGGCCTGAGTTATAAATTTGCCATTTAAAAAAAAAAAAACCATCAGATTCTCAGCCCTCAGACCATGTTGTAGAGTTTACGATGGAGTCAAAGAGACCCATGCCAGCATCCTGCTTAGTTAAACGCAGGGAGCTTACAGAGCTAATCCCTAAAAGACTGTGATGACAACATTAGATGGTAAAGGATAAAACTCAGTTACTACTGAGTCCTTACATCGCCTGCCATTTCCATCCAGCCCCCAGGTAGCCTCTCCATGGACGCTCTCCATTTTCCACTATGGACCAATTCCTATTCTCAGTTTTCACTGTGCAACTTCACTTATTTTTCTCGTACTTTTTCAATGTAAAAGTAGGCATTCGTCCATTGTGCTGGTTAACTATGGTTACCAACTTGATTCTATTAAGAATCTTGGCAAAGTGAGGTTATGTCTGTGGGGATGTTTTCAGGGAAGATTAGCTGGAGAGAGGAAGAATAACCTTTAATAGAGCCAGAAGTGTCCCATGGGATGACTAGTGGGAAGTGGAAAGAGGTAGCCACTGAAGGCTAGCATTCTCCTGTCTCTACTTCCTGATCCACAAAGATATGAGCAAGCAGCTTCCAAATGCCTCCAATGCCTTGTCTCTCCGGCACACCTTTCTCTCTGTGATAAACTATATCCCTCTAAACCGTGAGCCAAGATAAATGTTTTTTCTCCTAAGTTTCATCTAGTCTGGTATGCTGGTTAATTTTGTGTCAGCTTGACACGAGCCACAGTCATTTGGGAAGACAGAACTTGAATAGAGAAAATGTCCTCACTAGCCTGTGATGCATTTTGATCACTGATTGCTCTCTGAGGGCCCAGCTCACTGTGGACAGTGCTACCCTTAGGCAGGAAGCCCTAGGTGCTATAGAAAGCAGGCTGAGCAAGCTATAAGGAGCAAGCCAGTAAGCAGCACTCTTCCATGACCTCTGCATCAGTTCCTGTCTTCAGGTTCCTGCCATGAGTTCCTGCCTGCCTGCCTGCCTTCCCTGGATGAGGTACTACAAGCTGTGTGATTAAATAAACCCCTTCCTCCCAGGCTGATGTGGGTCATAATGTCTTATCACAGCAACAGAAACCCTAGCTAAGACATCAGTTTTTTAGTCACTGACCAAAATTGGTCCTAAAAAGCAAGGCCAGTGCCGTGACTCCCTGACCAGAAGGCTCATGCAACTGGCGTGTGGAAATAATAGGGAAGAGTTTGAAACTGCAGGCTGAAGAAAGCCCTAGAAGGTTACAATTGAAGCTTAATGGATCCCCGGGAGGAGTTTCGAGGACCAGAATGAAGATATGATGCACGTGAACTGTAGAATCAGGAACAGTACCAGCTCTGATTTAGACTATCAGAACTTCACGGGGAATGGGAGTAGAAGCCTTTAGTGTCATTCTGGCTAAGAACCTGTGGCTGCCTTCTGTCCATACCCCGAGGCTGAACTTTAAAACAGTGCATCATTTGTCTGGCAAAGGGAATTTCAGGACAGCATAGTATCCAGGTTGTGGTGAGGTGATTGCTCACCGCACTTCCCGGATTTACAATGAGAGAGAACAATGGAGCATAAAGACGGGGAAAGCGTGTGGCGTGCAGAAGAACCACGTGACCCTGTCTGAGGCTACAAACAGAAGTGTGCAGTTTAGTGGGGAAAGAAATGTGGACCCAGTTCAAGTTGAAGATCAGGCAGGAAGAGGCTAATTAGAAACTTTTATGAGAAACCATTAATGAGAAACTTTGGATGCGGCACAGGGACGACACAAAAGACAAGCTCCCACCCAACAAGAGTTCCTAGGTATTTTCATGCAAATTCACTTGACAGGAGACTGCCTGAGAAAACATGGCCTTCAAGGTACACCACAGAAAAACAGCCGAATAAGAAAGTGTTTTCCTGGGTTCAGCGGAGAAGTCCCACAGGTAGCTGCACTATGGTCCAAGGGGGCTAGGTTACCTCTCAAGATGGCGGGAGAACTTTGGGTTAGGCATACGGTACTGGTTTTGCAGGTATACACGCTGTATGAATGAAGAGGCATGGAGGTGAGACACCAAGGATCCAGAAAACCAGTGAGAGCAGGTGATGTATATCAAGGTTGGTTAGCCTGCATGCAGCTGCAGACTGCACTGTGCACAAAACCGTGAAAGTACAGCTTATGTTGCAGTGAAGACCCCAGAAAGACGGGACTACCCGTAAAGCCAGCGGAGCCTAGATAATTCCACAAGAACCCCAATGCCACACTTGGAGACTCAAGAATTGGTTTTTGCTAGGTCTGTCTTGCTTTGCTCTGTTCCTTCTGTGCTTCAGTTCATACCTTTAAGGCATGAGCATGTTTACTGTGTTGCTGTATATTCAAAGTATAGAACTGACTTTTTTAGATTAGATGGGTTAATGGAGTCCCTTGAATCTCAGAGAAGACTTTGAACTTGCACTTCTGAACAATTCTAGAACTCTTAAGATGTTGAGAATTCATTCCTAGCACAATGAACTAAATGCATTGTGCAGTTTGAGATCAGCATGAGGCTACACAAGCCAGTACATAATACTATGATTTAAAGCCCTGTACTTGGGTGCCAGGCTGGTTAGAGTTGGATTAGTGATGGCTGCTTTTCCAAATTCTCTTTTCATAGCTTCTGTGCCCATGCAAGCCACAGTGCATGTGGGAAGGACAAAGGACAACTTGTGAGAGTCATTTCTGCCCTTCCAGACATGGAACTTAGGTCATCAGGCTTGACAGGAAACACCCTTTAGCCACTGAACCATCTTGCCAGCCTTGTGTCAGTCAATTCTGATGATAGAGCGAGAAGCAGAGTGTCAAAGGTGTCAGCGAGGTACTCCTTTAGGATCTTGTCCACGAAGGTGCTTCCATAGAAGATTAGCTGAGAGAGAAAGGCATTCTCTAACGTGGACAAGACCATCGGATACTTCTGGGGAAACTAGGAAAAGGAAGAAAGCCAGCACAACAGCAATATCCCCTTTATCTTCTTCAGTCCCCCAGTATGTGAGCAATCAGCTTCCTGCTGCCACAGGCAGGTGCTGCTCCTGCTACCATAGCTTTCCTGCCATGGTGGGCTATATTGCCTCCTTTACATTGCTTTTCAGTAGATATTTGGTCACAGCATGAAGAAAAATACTGTGTGTGTGTATGTGTGTGTGTGTGTGTGAGAGAGAGAGAGAGAGAGATGGTTTTATGTCATTGATTTCCACTACTTACTAAGGACAATTGTCCAAATGACTTGGTCAAATTAGTATCCAGGACTCTCTTAACTTGGAGTAAGCCACATCATCTTTCTCTGAGCAGAGAATTCAAATTTAGCCAGTGAAGGTCAGATGGATATTGGATGAAGACCAGTGGTTCTCAATGGAACAGTCCTGGTACAGGGGGACATCACAGGCTCACAAAGGGCCCACAATGTCTGTGGCTTGCCTCTCATGAAATATCTAGGCTGTTTCCATCACAGTAGTCCTGAGACTAGAGAGTATGAGTCTTTTAGTAAAAAAAAAATAATAGGGGGTAAAACATCAGGATCTTGTTGTGGTTTGAATCTTCAATGCCCAGCGCTCAAGTGGGGTAGGTTTGATGCCTGGCTGGAAATGCTATCTGGGGTGCATGGGTCCTGCTGGGAAGATACAAAGAGCATGCCTTCACAGGGACACCGAGACTGTCCCTTCTCTCTTTACTGTCCAGCCAGTATCAAGTCAGGCGTTTTTCTTCACTGTGCGCTCCCTGTCCTGATATGCTGCCTCATCACAGTCTCCAAGTGAAGGGGCCCAGAGATCTCTTAAACCATGAGCCCAAATAACTGTTTCTCCTTTTAAGTTACATATCTCGGGTATTTTGTCACAGGGTTGGAATCTGACAAACACGGGTCTTCGCCGAGAGAATAAAGCAGACAGGGAAATAACGGGAAGAAGAATTCGTACCCACCCTACAGAACCCAGGCAATGGGTCACTACTTACACGTGAGCCCATCTCCACCTTACACATGCCACCAGCGTGCCCTCTTCCACTGAGTGCCGTTCACATTTATCTCGTAGTCATACCATAAACTACAAACTATATTACTACCTTCGGCACTTAAAGCCCGTCACACAGCTCTTTGTGAAGGATGAAATATGAAATGAATGAATAATTAAACAAACTGTCTACAGTCTAGAGTGCTGAATTAGAAATGGCTTAATACGGCTGTTGCAGGTTAAAAGGAAATCAGCTTGTTCTAAAAAATTGAATCTATTACAGATTTTTAAAGTAAATGTGGAAAGATGATTTCTTTAGTTCTCTCTTGATGAGAACTCTCTTGATGAGAGAGCTGAAGAAAATCAACAGTAACAAAAAAAATGAACCAAGAGGAGAAATATAGACAGATGAGGAAGTACTCCCCCTCCTTGCACACAGTATGAACATATATGTACACCTGCACACACAGTTCTAATTCCACACATTTGGATGACATGAGGAACAGATAAGGGGTAGAGATATACCTTCTTAAACTAGAAGCTGTTTTAGTCAAGAGAATATACTTTATTTAAATGGTTTGTGATGGCTTGGTTTGACTCTTTGAGCAAATTTCTGGTATAGGAAACACAAACTTCATCATTTGGGAGATCTTCAATAAAAGCAGAATAAGAGCCAAAGAGGTGTTAAACAAAACTAAGCAAAATAGGAACATGGCAGTAAGTATCTCCATGTAAGTTTTTGGAAGGAAAGTAAGTCACTCAGAAGTAATAAAGTAAATGAAACACATGACATAAAAGGATGGGCTGGTGTTTTGGACTCTATTCTTACAAATTTCTGTCCTGGAAGCATTTTTCAAAGACAAAGTTTAAAAAAATACATTCACCAATGTGGTGGTTTGAATAAGAGTGACCCCCATAGGCTCATATATCTGCATGTTTAGCTGTCAGGAAGTGGCACTACTTAGAAGGATTAGGAAGTGTGGCATTTGGAGTAGATATGGCCTTCGTGGAGAAGGTGTGTCACTGGGGATGGGCTTTGGGCTTTGAAAAGCCAAAACAAGACCCAGTGTCTTTCTCTTCCTGCTGCTACAGATCTGGGTATAGAACCCCCAGCTGCTTCTCAGCACCACATCTACCTGCACGCTGCCATGCTTCCCACCATGGTGACAATGGACTGAACCTCTGAAACTGTAAGCCAGCCCCAGGTAAATGCTTTCTATGATAAGAGTTGCAATTTTCATGGTCTCTTCACAGCACCAGAATCAAGATTAAGAATCAAGATTCCTAGTCCTTATCTGGTATAGGAGGTCCTTCTGTGTTTGTGTTGCTTTCATTGGTTATTAAAGACACTGTCTTGGCCTAGTTGATAGGGCGGAACTTTGGTAGGCAGAGAAGACAGAACTGAATGCTGGGAAGAAGGGCAGAGTGGCAGATGCCATGAAGCTCCTGCCTGAGACTGACAGTGGTTAGAATCTTTCCCAGTAAGTCACAACCTCGTGGTGCTACACAGATTATTGGAAATGGGTTGAATCCAGATGTGAGAGTTAACCAATAAGAGACTAGAACTAATGGGCCAGGCAGTGTTTAAATGAATACAGTTTCTGTGTGATTATTTCAGATGTAAGCTAGCGGGGCGGTCGGGACCAAAAGCAGGCCTGCTCCTCCTATAACACTTATCACCCCTTTAGAGTGGTTGTGAGACCCATGTAACAAGCAGAAGGAAGAAGGAAATTCTGTCCCCATCTATGCTGGCAGATGTCAAAATGGAACAAATCCTCAAAGCTTTCCCTTCTAACTAGAGAAACCAGAAGGTCCCCATCATCTGAAGCAGTTGCCAGGAAACTGAACCAGACAAGACCCAACTCAGAACCCAGCAGCATAAAACGCTAGTACCCAGAGGGAACCAAGGCCAGCAAAGACCACAGGACAGTACAAGACCCAAGTGACTCACCTTTGGGGATGCCTAAGCATAGATCAAGAAAAGAATCCCACAAGAGACAAACCAGCTCAGAAGGGAAATGGCTCTTGGAATTTAGTAGACACTTTACACAAAGAGGATTTATGATAAAGGAGAGAAGCCCATCTCACCTAGAAGTGGTGAACGAAAGGATCAGCTAACACGAAACACATTTGAGTCCTTCAGAGGAACTCAGCTTTTGTGTGTGCATTTGGCTACTGCAGTTGTGTGACTGCTGCCTAGGTGTGTGTGGAAGTGCAAGCACACACAGTGTGTCTGGAGTAGAGCGTGTCCAAGTGTTGACAGAGTGAGCTAACAAGACTTCCACCTTCACATTTCTGCTTCTATGCGTTTGAGAAGGAAATTTGCATTGTTTTTATTATCGAGCAAAATGCAAGATTTTCCACGTAGGGAGAAAAGAAGGAAATTCCACCAGAGAACAAGATAGAGTCACAAACTAGTCCATCCCTGCCTTTCTTATTGTCCTATCCATGGTAGGAATGAAGTGGATGCTAGGGATGGGGGGTTGTGTGTGTGGCTGTTGTTGTTTTTATTTGCTTATTTTTAAATTAAGCTTGTCAAATGGTGCCCCATATAAATTGCCAACCTTCAGACCAAAAGCCAGAAATTTCTTTGCAGTGATTCCAGAAGCTTAATCTGACTTTTTCCTGTTACCTGACCTTGCCTAACTTTTAAATATATATACATACATATACATTATATATACATATCGCATACCATATTACATATGTGTGTGTGTGTGTGTGTGTGTACAGTAGCTAGTTATTAAAAAACCTGGATTAAGTTTACAATTCTCCCAATAAAATATAGATGCTCCCCTAAGAGATAATAGACCCGGTGACCTTGACAGGATCTAGAAGGTAAGTCATATGTGTAGTGGCTTATGCCTCTATGCCATTAATTCTATCTCTTGGGAGGCAGAGGTAGGTGGATCTCTGTGAGTTCCAGGTCATCCATAGTCTATGTCTTACACAAAAACAAAAACAAACAAACAAACAACTAGGTCATAAGGCTCTGGGCATGCCTATGAGGGGTTATCTGGATTGAGGTAACTGATGTCTGAAGCAGCAGCCTGCCTGCCAGACTGAACAGCAAGGGAGGAGAGCTGAGCCTGGCATGCATCGCCCTCTGCACCCTGACTGCAAGGAGAGCAGCTGCCCCCGATTCAGCCGCCATGATGAAATTTATTTCCCCAAAATAAACTCCATGTCCCTTAAACTCGGATCCTCTGTCTCAGCACCGAGAAAAGTAGCTGATACAGGTGTCCCTGCTCGGCTGTTTTTTCTCAGTCTTCCTCTTCATCTCACCTGTCCCCCTCCAGCAACCTTCTTCTACATACTCTCTGAACTAACAGACTGTTATCTACTGATATTTATCTAAAACATGAGCCGTTGGATGAGCAACAGAGATGGAGGTGAAGAACCAAGGATCATAGAATGCAGATACTCATGCCCCAACTCAGTCATAAGTTCCCCCACACCTTCTACTCCCTCCCTCTCCCCCTTCTTCCCTTACACACACACACACACACACACACACACACACACACACACACTTAGTTGCAAATCCCTACATTTTACATGACCCATTATTCTCTTTTCAAACTTAAAAAGTAATTCATTTTAGAATAATTCCATTTGAAAAAAAAGATAACTTGCATTCCTCTTACTCGTCTGGAACCTGGTTTTGTTGACTGTCGGGGATGAATTCAGTGTCTAATTGCTCTTGGTCCTGATCCTGAAAACTAGCTTCTCTCGTTTTGTCTCTATAATACGTGACCTGGAAAGAAAAAAAAAAATAAGTAGTGTGGACGTGGACAATGGCATGGACACACGACAGAAACACCGCACTTCGCCAAAGCAGCTGCCTACAAAAGAGCTTGGCTTCATGTGCATGAACGTCTCCAGCAGGAGCCCTCAGAAGCTGCTCTGGAGGTGACACAAGGCGGGCTCGGAGAGGGGTGGCAGTTTGCGAATCAGTGTAGGGAAGAGTTTTGTGTGTGTGTTCCTGGTTCAAAACTCATCTACTGTGGTATTCACTATATGTACATTACAACTCGATTTTAAGTGTAGACTTTAAAACAGCATACTGCATCACCTCTACTCCCAGAATAAAAAGATCCCTAACCCAGAATAATACCCACAGACAGTAAAATTCTAGCCAGTGTATGTCCTCCAAAAGTATTAATGACAACTGTCACCTCTAGGTAAAGAAAAGTCTTACCAGGTGCCAGGTTTACTACAAACCTGTTTGTTTTTGTATACCTACCATGCTTTAGAAATCAGGATCGCAGCATCAAGTTGGCAAACTTATTGTCCCCGTGTGGCCAGTACGTAAATGAAACATCAAAGTCTACAACTCCCCAGGGTTTCTGTCCAGCTTGGTTCTCACCGAAGCAGAAACTGTTCAACTACTGATCCTGCTCAGAACAGCCCACTCAAACTACGTTTCTCTGTAGCTTTGGGGAACTACGTCCATTTTTATAAGTCTATGCAAAGTCATTTAAACATTTGGAAGTAAAATTACTGGCTGACGTTGTATATAATATGGCTATACTGTGTTCTTCAAGAGTGTGTGGATTGGAAGTTTGGGCCCTGGCGTTCCCAGGTGACAGGTAGGGCATGATGGGAGAAGCTATCAGAACATGGGAAACCGGAAGTTCTCATGAGACCTGGGCTAGTTCCCAAGAGAGTTATTATGAATGAGCAAGCCTGGCCCCTCCCTGTGTCCTGGCTCCCAGGGATGTGCTCACTCCCTTCAGTACATATGCCCACCAACGCATTGCTGTCCCCTGCAGGAGTTTGTTGTGGCCACAGAAAACATGATGGGACTGCTGTCTTAATTTTGATATGCATCATCCTTGCGCTCTGGGTTCCAACTATCTAGAAAGTTCCACTGCCCATGGAAGTCACCAGTGCCCAGGCCTATGTGAGAACACGGTTTGCTCACTTTCCCAAACTTGGAAGTTCCAGTTTTATGCTGCCACGTCAGCCTTGTGCGTCCTTACCTGCGTAAGGGGGGCCTTGTTGTCCATAAGTTTTCCTACGTTTACAGAGCTGAAAGATGTCTCCAGCAAAGGCAAAAGGCGACCCTTGATTGTTGCCACACCCTCATTATGTCCTCCTAAGAGAATGTACATGGCAGATCAGCAGGGTGGTGGAGGGGTCCCAGCCAGAGGGCATGGACACACACATACACACAGTCGCACAAACAGAAAAGGAGAGGGGTTGAAGGGTGGGGAGGCAGAAATTGCTCTCACCTTCTTGGGCTGTCACCGTGAGGATCCCGAAGAGTTGTGCCTGCACTTTGGCCACTTGTTCGATGAGTCCGATGCAGTAATTTAGGTTTTCATCACAGGAGTTTGTCTGTAAAGTCAAACACAAGACATCCGTACAGTTCCTTGTTTCTGGAACTGGCTGCAGATAGATGTGACTGTGTAATCCAGGGGCTACCAGGCTCTAGTCTACCAAGATCTAGTCCTCTGAACGCACAGCTGGCATTTGGCGACTCTGTGATTCAACTCAGTTCTATACACCATGACTGGGCCTGGCAGAAAAAAAATTCTCCTGAGCAATCTTGTTTCTAGATTTCCAGATCCACCAGATAAATGCAGAGGAAGCATTTCCTCCCATGGCGGAGGGGAAGTGTGAACCCACAAGACTCCCAAAGCTTTTGACTTGATCAACGATAAGTGCCTGAGGAAGTTGTCTGTGGGTGTTTAACCTCCTGAGGTTTGAGGAATTACTTTCATAGCAATGATTCTACTCAGAATCCTGAAAGTTAAATTTAAAAAAAATCCCCTTATGAACCGAAGAGACAACTTACACCCCAATGCACATGGTCGCCTCATATACCTGCTTTATCACATTGTACATAACATTCAGTTCTTGATATTATATGTTCCAAGTCTACAACTCCTTTAACAACAGGACGGCATTGTGCTGGGTGCAGGATGCTATGGGGGAGCAAGACAAAAGGAGGGCCATGGCCACTAGCAGATGACAGCAGGAAATGTAAGGGGAACCCTTTCAGTGGTGAGAATGGAACTCTAGAAGGTCATGGGGGCCTCTTGGTTTTTATTCTGTTTTGGTCTTTATGTTCATAGCTAGACCTTGAAGAGATTCCAACACTGAAAGAAGGGGCGGTTATATGAACAAACAATAAACAAACAATAAAATTACATAGATGTTGGAATGATGCCCAAGTTACCCAACCTTGCTGTCTGGGCCTATTCCCTGTCTCAAATTGTGGGAATGCAAAGTGTTCGGAGAAAGAATCTAAACAAACTACCCAGCCCTTTGAGAAACAGAAGGCAGCTGTGAGGTGCAGGGCCCAGGAATCAGGAAGCTCTGGTTTCAGATCCCACTCTCCGCCAGCAAGATGAATTCTTTGGCGAAAGACGTGTAAATGAGATACTGTGACCTCAGGTTTAGGAAGGAGTTGACTTTTTGTGCTAACTCAGCCTAGATCCTCAATTAGAAGTGTGTCTGTGGTTTCCCACCACCTGCTTCCATGCCTTGTCTGCTGCCCAAAGGAGTATTTGTGTACACAACACAGATATTCACGCCTGGGTCCCAAGACAAGTCACAACATGCCCAGCTCCCCACACAAAGCACTGCTTAAGATGCTTGAGTTACAACAGGGTCACATTATCCAATTAGCCCTATCATCTGATCAGCAGAGAAAAGATGGGAATCAAATGTACCCTGTGCGGAGCAGAGTCTTCAGATTAATTTATTCGTAAGTCCCAGACTTCCTATGCCCCACCCATGCCGAAGTTACTTTTAAATTAAACGTGGTGCCTGCCATGGGTGAACTCAGCAGCTGAGGGAGAGGACGGAGAATGAGGAAGCAAATGGTCTATAAATGATCATCCCAGACTATATCAAGTGTTCTGTATGGGAAGTAAGCTAGAGGCTGAACAAAATGGGCCCTGGGGAGGGGGGAAGGAAAAGAGAGCCAAGGAGGGGAGGAGAAGAGGAAAGAGGGGAAGGGGAAGAGACAATATACATTGGCTACCTTTCCTACGGGAGACACACCAACTCAGGAAAGTAAAGTCAGGGCATTCGAAGAAAGGATGGTTGAGTTGGGCTTCTCAAAACCTCAGCATGTGAGACGTGTGTGCTTCACACTACAACACTACCCAAAACAGTAGAATCCAGACTGCTAGAGAGAGACAGGAATGGGGGTGTGGCCTTGGATGGGAGAGTGGAAGCCTACAGAAGTGAGATGACAGTAATGATAGGGAATGGGCAGAGGGCTCAAGGACCATCTTGTGTCTCAAGTGGGCTGAGGAAGAAAAGATAATTAGTAAAGAGCAAAATGATGGCAAAAAAGAAAGAAAGAAAGAAAGAAAGAAAGAAAGAAAGAAAGAAAGAAAGA